ATATACATTTTGCTGTTACTAGATTTTCTACGCCACAGAGCACGTATTTTCTATTTTTCTCACGCTGTCACCAAAATTGCGTTACTCGCGTTATTCTTGGTTCAAAACTGTCACCAAAATCGCGTTACTTGCGTTTGCTCTGAGTAACATCTAATACCGTATTCTTCCGAAAATAAGCAACACGTTTTTGTTATAGTGTTGCTTATTTTCGGGCTGTTTAATAAAATGAAAGAAATTCCCACTGAATTATGTGATTTCTGTCGACAATACCACTGACTATCATTGACCTCATTGATGAGACGGATTAATCATTTTCTTTATTGTAATAACAATAATAAAATAAATTAACTAATTGAATACATTTATAAAGGTAAATTATTTATCCTGAATTCTAGAATAATCTGCACAAAATATCTGATTGGCGCTCGACATTGTTAACATAGAGAATTTGATGACGCTTTATTGATCAAATACTTCGAGTGTAATTTGAAATCAACGATAGAAACATACTTTTACAAACATAGTCTTTCAGAATCCACGGGGATCCACGCAGGTTTACAAAGTTGTTGTCTAATAAATTGTGTTTAAATATTAGCCTTCGCTATACAATGAACGCAGAAGTAGAAGCCAAAAACTCACCTTGTCTCTTTTGAGTATCTCGTCAATGGCATGAAGTCAGTTGGCAGGATGTGGGATAAAGAGAATCAAAGATAGCGACGCGCATCAGCTAATGCTGCAGCAAAGAGAATAACAGAAACGGCTAAGTATTCTTCGTATTACTTGACTCGTTAGAGAATTATTCTTGCGTGACAAGCATTTAACCAAATTGTCGTTAAAAAGTCTTTTATTAAATGAATGACTGTAACAAATGACTCAATCTCTTTAGATTCAGAAGAAAAAAGAGAGAAAAAACTGAGACTCTAACGTAATAATTACTGGCATCCGAAAAAACTTTTTCTGACTTTAGCGTGCCGTACAGGTATCATTGCTAGATCCAGCATACGACGTTCTATGAACCGAATACAAGAGCCAACACTTATTATCCGAAAATGCAGTGTTAAAAAGCGGTTAGATGAAGTGACCAACAAGGTCGTATTGGATCTCTGACAGAATTCGCCGAGAGAAACGAGGGTCCAAATCAAATTGAATCATGCGCAGGTTAAAGTATGAAAACAAGTCTTTTTTTATTTACAAGTAATTATTAACTTTCGTACTAGAGTTTGTTTCAATAGGCCTTCATCAAGACTTTGCGGCTAGAAGAATGTTTGTATTGATTTGGTCTGCTCGACGCCACCTGATTTACCGATTGATTGAAATTGCCGATGAAGAACAAAAGCAATGATTGAAGCCTGGGTTCGCAATCTGACTGAAGAAAAGATTGTGACTTCCCGATCTTAACTTTTAAATCAACATCAAGGCCACGGCGCAATATTAGAAGAAATTCAAAAACATTCAAATCGTTAATTCCTTCTACACCTTCACGGCGTTCATCTCTTTTAGGCGATTTACAACAATCACGTTTTCGAGGTTTATCAAGTCAGTCCGTGATGACTTAATGAACTCTTCAAGAAGTTAGAAGTGTATTGTCCGAAAACATTATAATACTAATAAGGCAGGACAAAGTTGAAATATGTTGTCATAAACGTTATTGATAGAACTTCTCCTACAAAGATTTCTAGAAATTTTCCAAAATTTTTTTACTATCATAAAAAGAAAGATCTGTATCATCCAAATCGGGGAATATCTGACTGTATTCTGTCTTCATCTTTTTTTGGGATGAGGATGGTATTATATATTAATAGTGATGTTACATAACAGCACATACTAATACTAATATTAATATGTTGTATACTTACAAGACATATTAATATATCATCAATTCATTGTGTCATATTAATATGACATGTAAATGGCTGCCAATGTACCCTTGATACATAGAACAATTTTAATTAATAAATTGCACTCAACAAGCACAATTATCAGTCATGTGCATAGAATGTTGGATTTATTCAATTTGGTAATACTAATACTGCCAATATCTAACTTCCTATTACTATAGAGAAATTTTGCAGATAAATTAAAGTTTTGCTCCTGTCAAATCAATATATGTATTAGTATGTGATTGTCTTGGGATTTATCCTTTTCAATCAAGACCTTTAACCATCCATACTTTACTAATGACGATGAGTAACTTTAAAATCAGTCACTCATCTTAGTATTACTTATTACTATGACAAGGCATCTTGAAAAATGAGTACTCAAAAATTTGAATTTATAACAATAATTTAATAGTCATAGAGGACTTTGATTCAAGAGCCTTTGCTAAATCTGTTACTCCTGAAGCTCCAATTTGATTAGACTGGAGGTCTAAAGAAGTCAGTGAGGGATTTGACTCTAGAGATTTTGCCAAAGCTGTTGCTCCCTGTATCTCCAATTTTATTATCACTGAGATTCAAAGAATAAGAAGTCAGAAAAAAATTTGATTCTAATGCTTTTGCCAGATCTTTGCTCCTGTATCTCCAATATGATTATCCCAGAAATTCAAAAAAGTTAGAGAGAAATTTGATTCTAATGCCTTTGCCAGAGCTATTGCTCCTGTGACTCCAATTTGATTGTCACAGAGATTCAACAAAGATAAAGATAAATTTGATTTCAAAATTTTTACTAAGACTGGCTCCAGCATCCCCAGTTTGATGCTCCATAAAATCTAATAATAAACATTGATTTTTGCATCCAACTGATTGAACAAAGATGAAACTGTTTGCAAAGAGTTTCAGTTGGGTTAATTTTTAAAAACTTGAAATCATTTAATATTAATGCATTATCATACTGTTTGAGTGCATAGTAAATCTTTCCTCTTACCCTCAGTGTCAATGAATGATCTGGTTCAGTGTTTAAAAGTTTATTCAAATAACCCAATGCTTTGTCATACAAATTATCATCACATCTGATAATTCCCTGCTCCATTGAGACAAACATATGGCTTGGGTCCATTCCCAGTGATTCATAAAAGATCATTCAATGCATAGTTGCTTTGCTCAAGCATGAGATAAACATGTCCTCTTAGATGCTGTGCTATTGTATCAGTGGGTTTAATTTGTAATAATATATTGAGATCTTTTAATGCATCCTCATATTGAAAAAGATTAAAATAAACAGCACCCCTTGCAATTAATGCACTTGCATTATTTGGTTCAATCTCCAATAGTTTGTTGAAATCATTCAATGCCATCTCATACTGTTTAAAAATGTAATAAATGCTACCCCTGACTTCTAATGCAAGCACATCACCTGTGTCAATTTCTAATGATTGTTTAAGATCTTTAAGAGCCTGTTTGTACTCTGATTGTTGCATATAATATTTTCCACGCCATGCCCATGCTCTGGCATTGTTGGGATTATTTTTGATAGCTTGCATTATGTAATCATAACATTTTGATAGTAATAGTTTAATGTGCAACTGCAAGGTCAATTTGAATAGTAGCACTGTTGGGATAATAAATAATAATAAGTGCTTTTTCAAGCCATATTATTGCATCTTCATATCTTTTCCATCAAGAGCTTTCCTGCCTTGTTTGTATGTAGAATGTAGACTCTTTGGCCTCTTCATTCTTTGTAGAATAGTTTTCTTCAGTTTCATTTTAAGCAAATATAAAAACTTTAATTTTGTAATAGAGGTCTCCTCAACATTATCATCATCATTATCCTCTTCCTCCTGACATGCCATAATAGCAGTAAAATCTTTTGTATTTACTTTGTCTTTTGGTGTAATATGTCCAGTTTTGACAAAATTTTCATACAATGCTTTGTATACTGGTGAACTTGGTAATTTTTCAGTCTCAGCTAATTGACACTTTCTTCTACAGTAAAAGCATTTCAGTTCAAGACAGTTCATCCTCATAAAAGCTGACAGTGCCAGATAACTGATTTTGTGCTGAAGTATTCTAAAATCTTCTGTAACTTCTTGTGTAAATGGACATGTAAGATGATCTGCAACCATGTCTAAAATTAATAAATCATTTGGATTTGAATCAAGAAGTTTTTCAGACATCTGATCCAGTTTTTCTGCCTTTTGCCTTGACACTGAGTAGTAACAAGTTGTATAATTTAATGAGATGTCCTGATCTGTCATTATTGTTGACAATTGATTCCAAGTTTGTTGCTAATTGTTCATTTAATTCAATGCAGCTCATAGTTATAGTTGATTGTTCATGATCTTCAGAATTGTCACTCTCATTGTCACTTTCAAAAGTGATAAAGTCTATTCCGGTGTCATCTTCAACCTCTGCATTTCCGTACTGCTTTTCCTTCCCTTTGTTTTTGGTACCTGAAGATGATTGTTGTCCAATCTCCTGTTAATATTGGTGTTAAAGTGGTTTTTATTGTAAGCTTTGAAGAGTCGTTTAATTATTTCAATGCGGAAAAAGGAGCTTACTGATGAATAATCAAAACATACCCAACTGTTTGCCTATTGCCGACGAGTACTGGTGATCCACACTATAACTAAGACATATACGAAAGCTTTTCTTATTATTTATCTGACCCTTTTAATGCTATAAATATCAAGTGATAAGTACTAGTACTAATTTCCTTGAGATGAATCACAGTAATTTCAACTTTCCGGTCAAGTTAATATTATTCTGCTTTGTTAGAGATAGTACAGTCGGGAGAATACACCGGAAAAGGAAACGTGATCAGCGGGGCTAGTTATATGAGCGATAAAGAATCACAATATTTCAAAGCTGATGACTGGCTGAAGACGTCGTACATACGGTCACGTTACTTAACCAAGATCTTGCAAAAAACAATAAATTTTTATTTCTGTACAATTAAAATCAACAAGTAAACTTTTTTCAACAATCATCGGGACATGGCCTCTGCACTCTTCGCTGAGGGTGTATACAGGTTATTTAAGACATGGACCGCTTTGAATTTAGCGGTGGAGAATCTATGGGGTGGGGTAGATTCCGAAGATAAAAGAGATTGGTTTGTCGGTGTTATTGTAGAATACTATGAGAAAAGTAAGTTGATACTAAGGTATGAGTAATGATTGTAATAGAACAACCCACATTGATACTGGCATAAAAGATGTATTAGTACTTATTCATTTTTGATCCTGCAGACGGTCAACGAACAGATCCATTCGACATTGAGCAGATTCTTGAACAAGTCATGTCTGATGAATTCAGTACCATTCTTGAAGATGATTCGGCATATCAAGTAGGATGTTATTCCTCCTGATCGGCTGTAGTCGTCTTGTTTTCTTTACTGCTCAAACATTGGTTTTCTCAAAATTTTTTTCCATGATGTAGATTGCTCAGACACTAGCACGAATGTATACAGAATGCCTAACTAATAAATCGACGATAATCGATAATTTACGAGCCAAACAATCTTCGCGACCAACAGCGCAGTCGGTTGCACTTACAAGTAGTAATGGTAATGGTGATGACGATGACAATGATGACGATTCTGATGAGGATGAGGACGAAGTTGGGAGTACATCAAACTAATACTCCGAAAATGATAGAATTTCATCTGCTTCAACAATGAAAGATGAAAACACTTCTTTGAGCTCAAATTAAGTCTTATCAACACAGTTTGCAATGGAAGCAATTTGCGAAAGGAAAAAAATAAATTCCGCCACACGTCAGCAATATTAATGCCTAATCGCGAGAGTGCCATACATGTCATATAATTCATGTCAGCTAGTTTTGAGCAGAAACTGGTTAAATGCATGCCGATTATCCTTCCTGCCTGTCAAAGTGTTTACCTCTTATGAATGTGACATTTCGAGTACGCTTCAAACTGATTTGCCTAACGAGAATTAGAATTCCCGTTTTCCATTGGACATACCTCCTCAAATTTGTTCATATATTGGTCCGTGCTATGATTTTTAGGATGTTCTAATAGAGGCGTCCCGATATTGACGGGATTTAACAGATCATCGGTATTGACCTCACAGACAGGCCATTTTAGTTTGTTTTATGGGTATCCGCAAATCTGGTTGCATTACAGAGATTAATGCATGGCTGGAAAAAACGTTCATGTGTCTGCTTGGGCGAACTGTCAACCGCAAGTGAAAGTTCGATACACGCCTGCAGAATAATTTGATTAATACCTCTAGAACGGATATTGCATTTGACACTTCTGTGTTTCCTTGCGATCTCTTATATATATCTACGCATGACACGATTACACTAGTAGTCGTTAAGCGCAAAGACACGTGAGAAAGTACAGAACAAAAAATATGCAGGTTGTTATGCATACTTAGCGTTCAGTCACATGAATTGAAATTGGTGAACCCATAGCATTTACCTAATCGGCAGAGTGGTAAATGTGATTCTGAAACCCATCCATGCCATAGTATTAATACTGCTTCCCATTTCCGAGTTTACTCTTGACGACTTGGTTAAAGATACTTGTTAATCGATCTGTTCAATTAATTCTTTGTTGCAGTATACCCAATTAAAAAGAAAAAGGAATATTATAAGAAAAAAAGCAAATTTCAATTGACAAGATGACATAAACATTGAATATACAAAAAGAACGAAAATTTACAAAATACTAAATTAGTATACAAGAATAACTAATATACAGTGTTTGTGCGTGTAAAACAACTAATAGTTCATAGGTAAACAAATAACGAGTCCAGCAAAGATTAGATCGATTCCATATAACAAGTCACTCCCAATCAATCATTTTTCTCTTCCAACTCTATAGGAGGGGGAGTCAAAGGAGGAGAAAGTTGTCCCCTCACCGTCCATCCACCACCAGACTCATTCACCTCAACATGTGTCGGATCAATACCTAATAATTACACAAGCCGTGAGTTAAGAGCCGTAAACAAAAAGATTTTGCAAATTTTGTAAATCTCTTACCAAGAAAACAAACATCACATAGTCTAGCAGCAGTACCAAATATGCTGTCTCTTCTGTTGCCAAAGAAATTTTGCTGTTCAGCCAAAAATTCCAGAAGAAATTCTTTAGGAAGTAGCGTGAGATCGATAGGCTTTTTTGTGAGACAATCTGTGCAAACTGTTTTATGGAAAGAAGTTCTGATAAGTATAAATATGCATTAATCATAGCAGACCCAAATAAAGTACTTGCCTATCTTGTTACACTTGAAACAAGTATTCCTCCATCTGAACACATTGAAATCGATTTTACACAGTTCACATGTTCTTGCAACGATAGCCTCATGGACCGTCTTAAACTTAAGAATTTCAAAATTCCGCGTTAGCACTCGGAAATAAATTTTCCACTTTTGTAACTGAAATCACAAATAAACGTACTGGATTCAACATAGACCCAATCGAGTTATCACCATTGCTGATACTTCTTTTGTGAGCCGCATTGTCTGGAACGACATTCACGCTCGTAGTAGAGCTGTTGGATAGACTAACTGGGTTCCAGACTTGTACGCCTGGTGCCAGGTCTTCGTCTTGAAGAGCATCTGGGAACATCGTGAAGAAGCATGGGTCGCATGCACGTACCACTTGATCATCTCTTTCGCTTGTTCCAGGGATAATAAAGTTCTGCAAAACAAAATTGCCAACGTTAGTGGTGCTACAAAACACATCAAACCTTTGTCTCGTAAACATACCCGAGTAGAACAAGCATGGCAAACCACCTTGCCACATGCACGGCAATGGTGCTTTCTTCTGAACATGGTAAATTCTTCCGGGCAATTCATGCACTTGTTGGTAGCCGAATCAGGAACCCACACTGGCGCATTATAATTCTCTACCACTCGTTTCTTATACAGGTCTTTTCTTTGTATGGGGACATTCTTATCGGCTGTAATCAGTAATGAGAATCAGTTTATGTGATCGGCCTGAAACAATACAATTGTTGAATATGTAATAGCTGTACCTATTTTAAGTGTTCTTTTAGCACTGAGGTACTCCTCCTTTGCTTCTCGAATGGCTTCTATCCAGGATTCTTTCTCTCTCTGAGAAGCTGTTATAATTGAGGACCTTTAGTTAATGTATGATCTTGTAAAATACGGCATCTAGCATTTTTTGATACGAACTTGTATACACCGTAAAGCTCTTCTGTGGACTGATAATTTGAAAGGCATTCTTGACTGCTATGTACAATAATACGTAGGGTTAGTGAGACGTCTATGGTTACTCAAGGGCTGGGGATAAGAAACTTGCCTTTAGATTTGTCAACTGGTAATACCGTTACATCTTCCAGGTCAAATTTACGGTGAAAGTTGTACATGTCATCCAGTAATGCCGGACTGAATAAAATATGGAATAAATATCAATAGGTATAAAAAGCAATAAGCTTTCCTTGGTCAATTTCCGTAATCACACCAACCTGGCATATATCAAAATGTCCGAGAATAAGAAAAACTCGCGCTCTTGATGACGGCGCCGACATTCCTAAAATCACACAGTGGCTTTAATACATAAATTACCGTGTTGGACAGACTCTTTAAAAAATTCATTTACCTTGTTGACAGTGCCCCTCTTTATAAATCTCCTTCCAGGGACAAGGAGAGCTTCATCAAAGCCCGATAAAGTCTTTTGTATTTCAAGCATGGTTATAAACATCTCATGCTGTCGAATAGTTTCATTGACAAAAGTGGCTACGTGCTCGATAACTTGATATGCCTTTTTTAGGCTCAAATAGTCGGGATGCGACTCTTCGGTTTTCTTGAGCAGATCTTCGAGAAGTAGTTTGTAACGGGGTATTCTTTGTACAGGCATGATGAGATAGGCCTGAAAGGTAAGACCTTTGCATTGTCCCGTTTTAATAATGTCCTAAAATTTAAGATATTATGTAAATAAATATAAACGGCACTGTAAACTATAATTGAGTTTACGTACCCGCAAGAATGCAGCAAACGCCGGATTGCTTTTCAACTGCTCATCAATTAACGCAAGAGCTGAATTGAAATTATTGACATAGATGGAATACATTTTTAAAAATGGTCCCTATAGATAAACCGCACATGAGTGATCATCCAAATGAACAAAAAAAAATCAGATTAAACGGAATCCTACCAAGTTCAAGAATATATCCCCGACACAAGCATCTTCTTCGCTCCATAAATTCAACCCTGATGATCTCTTTTCTCCTATTCCAGCAATACGTTCTTCCAATTCTCTTAGTAATTCGGTATTTACGTTGATAAGTTCCTTGAGATTAGAGAATATTCCCTTAATGCAACTTTCACTTAGAATGGGATAAGTTGTTTTTAAAGAATCAACAAGTGGTCGCAAGAATAGCTGTTACGTGACAGAAAAAGAGAGAAAGAGAAAGAGATTACTATAACGCCTTTTATCAGCGAGCCCCCATCTTTTAAAATTCATTTTGTGACTAACCCGTTCCAACAACTGCAGGCACTCAACATAATGTCTCTCGGTCGTGAGTATCTCCAATGCAATGCTTTGCCTCTTCTGAGCTGGTGTAGTAGCACTGATCCTACTCAATCGTACAGACAATCTCCCACTGTATATTGCATGCGTGCTCAGCCTCGCATGTGTCGTATCAGTCATACTTGATGATGCCGATGAGACAGCGGTATCGGTGCTTGCGTTTGTGTTTGTCGAAAAGGTGGATACCATTGATCCTGGACGTTGCGCACCATTGTTACTATAACGTTGGAGCAACTCTTCGACAGTTTCGTTTTCTTCAAAGTCGTCATCGTCCTCATCGTCAACGTTCAGGTCAATATAATTGGTATCTATTGACGGTGATGCTATTGATGGCGATGTCATTGTCGGTGATATTATTGATGGCGATGTTATCGCTGGTGATGGTTGGTTGTCGTTCTGGTGATTGGATGAGTAAGCTTTGGTAATGTCGTTAGAGTTATCGTCAGTGTTGTCCTTTGGACCATACTCGTTCGTCGATTTCATGCTGGATAGTATAGGCATTGAAGCTCGCCGACAAAAAGTCGTTGATCTCTGTGTGTCTGAAGATGGAATAGGCATAGAATGTCGATTATGCGACTCTTTATGCGTGTACGTGTTTGTCTCATTTTGCGTCTTTATCGATGGTGACGAACTGAATATCGATACCGAGTCCGAGTATAGACTTCCTCGAGTGCTCGCTCCCAACAATGTCGATGGCATAGACGAAGAGGGAGATATTAAAGTTTCTGACATGGGTTTACCTTCAGTAACATTGTTCATATAATAATATTGGGTACTAGATAACAGACTGGTTGCAGAAGCGGGTGATTGAACCATCGTTGATGTTGACGTTGTTTCTTCAGTTTCTTCTACCTTGTCGGATATATCGAGTTCATTAGTTTCGACTTTCTCGTCGACCAACGCGGTCGTATCATCAGCTTCTCGCTCCCTTTCTGCTAATCTGCTAGAGCTGATACTGGTAATACCTCTAAATTGAGAGCCATTCTGCACCAGTATAGACAGCCGTGATTTTGCACTATTATTTACTATACCGAGTATTGGAGTAGGTTGCACAACGCTCTCAGTCTCTGAAACTGGAGGATGCTTGTCGATAATCCAAGACTGTCTTGCACCGGGTGCCATGGTTCTACGGAATGAAGGTGAGGCAGCCATTGGATGGGGTATGCCATTAATGTGAGTAATGCTAGTGTTTACTTTCAGAGGAACTCTTATATCGGAAGAGCCAACTAAGGGCGTTTTTCGTGTCTTTGAGGGAGTAGGTTTTCCAGTTGCTTGTTCGCTCATTGTGTGCTTGATTGTTGCGACTAAGCGTTGATGGTATAATTCGTTTCAAAGATTCTCTGCAAGCCTGTTAAAAAAGCCAATAATTATAAAAAGGAAAAATGGCACGAACACAACTACCAAATACTCAGACGCCAGTATGCGTCGTTAAAGTTCTTTTTAAAAAATGATATTCACTTGAACGTTAATGATATGATAAAGGAAAATGTCATGTCACATCCCGTGTCAATAATACGATTAATTGATAATTGCAAAAACTTGATGAACTAGCGTTTATCACCGTTTCCCGCAACGAAAAAGGGGAGGGGAGGGAAGGGGACGGGGCCGGGGGGGAGACGGGACTTTTTTCGAAGGTTACTGAGAAGTTCGGCCAATCATTTTAGCGGAGAATGATAACGTACACGT